ATTTTTCTACACCTGAACAAGCAGCGTGTCTCTAAAGAGGATAAAGGGTAAATCATCCACGAAAGCAACGCGACTACACCGTCGTCTTCCCTTCGTGCGACACAAATGAGACCGTCGCGTCTCCCTTCGTGAAAAACTGCGAGGTGATTTCCGTGACCTCTAGCAGCCTCTTCAGCTAAACCCTTTCTTGAACTTTCACCATGGCGGTTCGCGTGGCATTCATCACACTGCAGACATTCACTGGGACTTTTTAAAGTATCTTCGGTCCTTGCCTGGCGCAACGCACCATCATCCTTGACACTATTGGCATGCATATTGACAATGCGCTCCTGGTCTTGGATGCATTCCTTTACGTAGGGTGGGTAGCGAGCAACGCGTTGCATCGGAAGAACAATAAGGGCCTCCAGGGAAATGTTGCATCCTTTTGAAAGAAGACGCGGGGCCGTTTTGCCCACACTAAAGTGAAGAAGGCTCTTCACAACGGTACCGCAGGCCAGAGCGCTGTAGCCAAACCTCCACACCTCGTTGAGCGCCGAGGCCTTGTCAAGAAAGCCCACCTAGCATTCGCGTCGAAGTTCCACACAAATCTTTGATGTGTATCACGCATTGCTTGTACTTCTTGTTGCATCGCATGCGCAGCCCTACCTGAAGATCCCGTCCGAGTTGCTGACTCTGCAGCACGTTTACAACGTGCTGCAAACTATTGAATAGGGTTCTGTGAAACAACAAGAGGTGCAGAACATGGCCGCCAAACGTCCATAACGACTCACTGTGACCGCCGCAGTGCGAAGGGGATGCATTGCAGCCAGGAAGCGTACAGGAACACGGTGTTTCTAAGAGGGACAATGTACGCAGATAAAAGTATTTCTAAACAGGCCGCGTAAGGTGTTTTGAAAAGGAAAAGGTCGTTGTGCACATGCGTCTCCTCCAACACCTCCAGCGGGATCCCCAGCCAAGCGCCCACTAAAAAACGGAACCTCGTGCCTGATACAAATTCAATAACAAATTGTCTCGTGCAGATTCATGGACTAAAAGAAGTGCTAGAAACAGAAAATAAAGGGGAAAAAGATCGATTTGAAGTTTCTTGTACGTTCATCCAAGTCAGGCTTGATGTTTCCTCACAGACACGTCAAGCAGCCTCAGCACTCCATCCTCATCCGAGAACACATAAGGGTCTTCCAGCCGCACAGCTACTACCTACCCCATTAGAAATTTCAAATATAAAGGGGCTAAACCTCTGATAAATGCTTCCACGCACAGTTGAAAGCAGTCACACCCTTCTCGAGCACCGCTTTTTTGTACGCCATTGTTTGCGGGTAGAAGGCGTCTCGCACCCATTCCTGCATCACAGCGTGGACATGGCTGCCCTTTGCGTAGTTGTACGCCGCATTCTCTAGAAACAGCGCACGCAACACAAAAAACCACCTTATTGTCCCAAAATTTTCCTTAAAAACAAGACTCTTTTCCCCAAGAATATCGTGTGGTACAACATCACCCGTCGGCCCTGAGCCACCGTCCTTGCTCAGCACTTTTGTGCCTGCGAAGATGGTCGTTGCGATGGCCACATCCTCACGTGTATTGGGAATAATCGTCTCTGCACCCTCCGATCCGGGGCCAGTACGCACATCCAACAGAATGGATTTCTCAACGCCTCTTATGGAGTGCGATTTGAGAATCTCACGGAGGACGGTGATGGCACGCTGCTCCTCTTGACCACCAAATCCAAGAGCATCAGGATGGTGATACTGGACAGTAGAAAGACCCTGTTGGAAGACGCCAAAACCCTTTGTGGCGAACCCCTTGACAAGGTGGAAAAGAAATACGTAGCGGTCAATAAAACGCGGAGCCCTCGACATGTGCAAAGAATTAAAATTCGCACTGTATCCAGAGCTATTTGCGCTGCTCGCCAAGACTCTCTCCCATTCCTCTGAGGAAAGATAATTGCGCCCAAGATCGACGTTTTTTCTCGTTGTAAATGCGGAAATGTGCCATGCCGTACGGGTTAACGGCATGAACAAAAAGCACCGAGGGGCCATCCTCGCGATTGCTGTTCCACTCGCGCAGCAGTTTCACCTGCACTGCACTTCCTGTGAACCCGTCAACACCGTGTATACCTGACATGTGGATGAGCAGATTATTGGGGCGTTTTCCACGCAAAAACGCGGTATCAACGGTGTAGTCAAAGCCATCTTCTTGGAGAACAATGTGTTGCTGCCACTCCGCACCCATCTCCTGGGCCGCATCCTTAAACTTCATTCTGGCCGCGTGGTAGCTTTGGGCGAAAAATAATTCGGGGCATGTGCTTGCGTTACTGTAGGTATTTGAGCAAACCATGTTTTCCTGCAAAGCTGCGAGGTCAATAAGTAGCATCCCCACAGCCATGGTAATGACTACAGACATGACCGTCGCACACTCAAGCATTGCTATTAGTCCCTTAAAAGCGTAAAACACTGGCCAGAGCAAGCAAACTGAGAAAAGTGGTGGATAGAGTAAAAAGGATGCAATGCAAGATCCAAGAAGGAAACCCAGCATCCTTGTTTGGCACCACGTACAAATATTTCATTCTACCATACTAACTAAATGCCTGTTATTCTCGCTGAGTCCAGGCACAAAACAAGAAAGACGCCACACTCGGCATTTGTCTCCAGAAAAAAAACGCAATTCACTCCTACTTCACACTCTAGGACCTTCGGAGGAAAAATAAAAACACCGCGTAGTGCGAATCACGCAACAAAAGGAGGGACATCTCTGAGTCGCAACGTTATGGAAAACCCGCGCCGCTGCAACGACATTGTTTCTTGCAAGAGCACCAACTGAATGTATTCCACCAACTTCAAGATATATAATTCCAACGCATGGCATGAGGGATCTCGCTGTTGCATCATTTCCGCCGCCTCGGCAACGACGAGCAACAATGGGTCAGGGAGGACGTCATAAATGCTCCGTAGTGCGGCGCAAAGGGTGTCACACAAGGATGCCATAGATTCTGGTGAGCATGCCTGTCGACCGCGGAGGGCACGACGCACTTGATTAATGTTGTACAGTAATGCCACCTCCGGATACAATTCTTTTAGTGCGGGCTCCGAGGAACAGATACCTTCAAACACAACCTCGCCACTCCTAGTATCTACCGATTGTCTCGCCGCATGTGCCATAAGCCCAAGGAGGGCACAGTGCTCTTTTCTAAACGCCTCTAAACCGTCTCTATTTTCCCCCGACATGACCAACTTCGAATCGCCACCACCATCGCAGGTGTAGGCACACACACACACACACAGGCAGAAGGGGGCGAACTAGAAGAGTAGTCATCCGTGCTCATGCAAACACTCACAGCTAAACACAATCACCAGGAAATCCACAACAAGAACTACAACAAAAACAGTTACAAAGAGTTTGATAGTGATACAATCATGACACCAAGAGTCCTGCACATGAAAAAAAGGTGTGATTCATTGCCCCACGAAACTGCAGGCATCCCTTTTCTGGATTCGTCATCTCAAGCCTATTATAAGGGCATTCGTGGGGTCACAGGGCCTTTTTTTCCCCTCTGAGAAGGCGCAGGACTCGCTGGGAAGCCACCATGGCCCGATGTTCAGACTTAAATTGTGCCAAGGCGCGCTCTTTCACCAGACCACTGCGATCCACGTCCAGCTTGAATGCGACAGCGTAGTCGTCCAGCGCCATGGCATACTCTTCCATACCTTCCAACGCCATAGCACGGCTAAAGTGTGCGTCTGCGTTCTCCGCGTCCAACTTAATCAAACGGGAAAAATCTTCCACCGCAAGATTGTGATTTCCCACCTTATCATAGCAAACACCACGGTTATACAACGCTATACAGTTATCAGAGTTCGTGGCAATGACCCTTGAGAAATCACCAATAGCCGCCTCATAATCACCTTCACGTGCAGAACAAAAGCCACGATTGATGTATTGTTTGGCAAGCATCATATTCACCTCTAGTGTAGCCTTGGGTTCACCAGAAGGTCCACCGGTGACCTCCCCAGCCTCGTCAGTTAGTGCTAAGGAGGTGTTGTAGTCACGCACAGCCTCTGCAAAACGTTCCATATTCTGAAAAACGGAAGCCCGGTTTTGGTAAAATATGGCATTCTTAGGCGAGAGTACAATGGCGTTCGTCAAATCCCGCAATGCCGCCTCACTCTTGCCTAGTCGGTCGTAGGCCATACCGCGAGCGTTGTATGTGAAGGAATTTACATTATCCAGCTGAAGAGCCCGTGTGTAGTCTGCCACTGCGTCATCAAGCCGACCCACCTTCTCCAGTGTGGCTCCCCTGTTATGGTAAGCGTTGGGGTTATCCTCTTGAATAGAGATGGCCTTTGTGTAGTCCGCAATGGCGTTCCTACCCTCGCCCAACTTATCATAGCAAAAGGCTCGGTTGTAGTAGGCTTTGAAGTGCTTTGGATCAATAGATAACGCCGTGGTGTAATCCTTTATAGCCTCACGATAGTTACCCAGCTTACGTTGACTAAATCCCCGGTTATGATAAAAGTCAGCGTTGCTGTCATCCAAGGAAATGGCCTTGTCGAACATAGCAATGGCTTCCGTATGGTGACCACCCTGACGATCATACGAGATGCCAAGATTGTAATAGGTGTAGGCGTACCCTGGTTCCAACTGCATGGCAGCCTTGTAGTCATGGATTGCCGCGTTGTAGTCCCCAATCTTATCGTTGCAAAATCCTCTATTAAACACGGCTTTAAAATTTTTGGCGTCAAGTCGAAGTGCCGCAGAGTATTCCTCAATGGCACGCACAAAATCACCTTCTTTGCGGTACTCCAGCCCACGGTGGTGGTGTAGCTCTGCCTCCTCACTGTTTGGTAACAAGGACGACGACGACGACGTCGTCGGCATCACCTGCGGTCGCTCAGGGCTACCGATGGGAACCCCAGCATCGTGACTCAGTCTTGAAGTCTCTGCCATGAGACTTGGCGTTTTCATACACGTGTCAAGCGGTGGGGCCGGGGGCAGTCGTATTCCATCGTCACCATTTTGGCGGACACTGTCCATATTTGGAGTCAAAGATGACTTCAGTCTAAGAGGTTTAGCTACCCCCGAAGGGGGTGCAGAAGTTTGATGATGAAGACGCGCCTGTGCAAATCGACTTCGGGCATTCCGATGCCACGTTAAAAACCAATTGCTACAGCCTGCGTCACACTGCAGTGCCCTCTCGTAGTCTAATATGGCAGCGGTGTAATTCCCTTTCCGGTTATGGCACGCGGCTCGCTCATACGTAGAGCGACTATGGGAAGGGTCAATGTCAAGAGCCGCGGTGAAGTCGGCGATGGCCTTGTCAATGCATGACAGTTTCACACGGCAAACGCCTCGAAGAAAAAAGGCACTCACAAGCTGGGACGCATCACTTTTCCCACGCAGTGTGTCAAGAATAACGGAGAGGCCCACCTGAGCAGCCTGGTGGTCCCCCAAGCGCATCAATAACTTCGCCCGCCACAATGATCCCTGCACATCGGCTGGATTCTTCTCAAGGTAGTGAGTCGCCTCTTCCAGCCTCTCCTCCGTTGACAGCAGAGGCCGGTGCCGCAGGTGATGACAACTGCGTATTGCAGGCCGAGGGGCATCCTCCGTCCTCTGCAGAATCATGCTGTCCTCCCTTTATCCGCGTCGAAACGGAACGAAAAAAAAAAAGAGGGGCGAAAACAAAAAGAACAAGAGACGTAGAACAAGGGCAAGCAAAAAAAGTCGCCAAATAAGAAGTAAATGGGTGATATCAATCATAAAAAGATACGAAGTCCAGTTTGCACACATTTCGCTACGCCAACAGGGCTCCATCATCCACTCCCCGCAACAACGGCTCGATATCTTGCAGTAGGCGGGCAGCAAAAAGCAGACGTTCTCTGCGAGACTCCCACAAACGATCAATCATCCGCGCGACAGCGCGGTTCATCTCCTCCACAACTTTTGTTAACATTGGCAGAGTGCCCTTCACACCTGCCATGTTCGCCAGCGGCAAAAGCTCCGCGTTGCTTGTGGACCACTGAAAAGAGATTGGCGCACCAGGTACCAGCTTTTCGTGCATATCCACAAGGTACATCAACTGCGGAATCTCCTCCTCCTGCCAGGCTGCTGCCACGCGAGTGAGCTCAAGGAGGAACGCACGACACTCCTGCAGAGTGTAAAGGCGACCATCCTTAAGTCGCTGAAGTATGTCCTTCCGAAGTACTTTCGCGTCAAAGTTGACAATACGGCCACTGTCGTCAATTTTCCAACGAGCCAACGGCGGCAGGGCAGCGGATGCCTTCCTTGCTGAGAGCGCAGATCGCTGAAGTCTTGATCGGGAGGTTGTCCTGGGCCACGCTGTACTCATGGGGCAAAAAAAAAAGAAGACACCCTGGTAGAAAAAAAGAAAATTCAAACATAAAAGAAGAAATATATTCCAATATTTTCAACAAGACAAAAAAAAAAAACACAACTCAACATGGAAATTAAGCAACGTCCAACGTGTATTTGATGCCACAGCCACAAGGTTAACAAGAGTAATCATAACGGCAGTGATACCGGCGCAAATGCATCCTTACCAATAACGCCTGAATATATTGTCTTAAGTTGAGACAGTAACCAAAACCACATTCACACCTTTGCACCCATGCATCAGCAACCAATTAAACGGCAGTAGCGGCATGCACAAATACACACGCACACGCTCTTCCCTCGCACGTGAAATACACCTTTACCGCAAGGGCGTGTTGAGACTCTGACTAGCCATATGAATAGCTTTGGATGTTTCTATTTGCCGATCTGTGAGTGTGTCCACAACGCCACGGTCCGTCGTGATACCGCTGGTGTGATGCACCGATACAACACTGCTTCCACGTACAAACAACACCGAATTGTAGCACTCCGTCTTTGTGCTGCCGCGCTGCCGCTTCAAAGGTCTAACACGCTCGACATCGGTGAGTATTAAATTTGATGTTGGCCCCAACGAAACAAGGCGGCCAATAAGCGTTGAGCCGTCGTCCAGCTCCACCTTCACGCGATAGCCGAGGAACGCGAGAAGGTTCCGCCGTTCAGGAATTGTTGGCATCACTGCTGCTACCCAACCAAATAGAACCAAAAATAAAACAGAAAAAAAAAGAGAATAAATTTGTCAAAAAGAGGCTCCTCGTTTTTTTTTTCCCCCTCTGTCACCCCCCCCCCCCCCCCTTCGTTGTCTATACGTTTACGGTGTTTTTCACCTCCTCCGTCCAATAACCACAGTAACTGCGCAGATAATATGTGTTGTTGTTTTGTTTTAATCCGGTGAAGTAAATACGACGGGGGCACGGCACACGGAGAAGACATGCGGTGTAAGCATAAGATCAAAAGAAGAAAAACAATAGCAGCAAAAAACGTCTTGGGTGAAGAGAGGCATCGCCCATTCCGTCAGTGGCGAAGTGTGTACGGGCTGGCCCCTCCCCCCACTGCCCTGTTTCCTTTGCGTCCAATAGAAAAAAAAAGAGGAAGAGCAGAGGTGCCTTTTTTATTTATTATTATTATTTTTTTCCTTTGTTCCAATTTTAATTATTTCTATCTTCCTTCTTTGCGTGTCTTCGCTTTCCCCTCATTCTCTCCCTCCCTCTGTGTATGCAATCGTCCGCTCCTCCTTCCTCTCTCTCTGCATCCCAGCATCCTGGAGTGAGGTTTACGTTGCTGCGGGAGACAGTACAAAAGAAGGAGTACGCATCACTCAATTTGGTAGTCATCACGCTTCATTTGCCGCTGCCGCTGCTGCTTGCGAAAAAGGAATGCCTTACCACTCTCCATAGCAATATCCTCCTTACGCTTAGGTGGAGCAGGCGGAAAGATAGACTTCTCCTTACCTGCCTGCTTTTTCACAGCTTCTCGCAGCCGCTCCTTCTTGGCCTTTCGCACCACCTTTGCTTTCTCCTTGTTCTGCACGCTCTTCTTGTAGACAGGCACAAAGCGGCTCCAGTCCTCATGTCGCAAATCCTCGCGCTTGGCGAGCTCGCGTTTAATGAGGAGCTGCTTCAGACCGTAAATAGGGTGAATATTGTTCATGCAGTCGTCAACAATCTTTCGCACCTGTTGGCACCCCTTCACTGGTCCCATCACCGCCACAGTTTTTCCCTGCACAAGAACATAACAACCGGTGAGGATCTCTAACGCCTTGAGTGTCTGCGCTTTTGGACCGATGAGACGATCCCGGCGCCTGATGAATCGACGCGTGCTGTTGCCCTTCATAGAAATGGGGATAATATCGCACGTGATGTCAGTTTGAAAAATCTTTTGCGCCTGTGCAAGAGGAACGTTTCTGGCTAGTAATCGAATAAAGTCTCGGGCCTTTACAACGACGTAGGGATCCCATGTTCTCCGCGTTGTCGCTACCGTCATGGAGCCCTCCATCAAGTCTAGCTTGCCGACCAATTGGTGTTGTCCCAAGATCGTCTCCACGGCCGGCCATACGCTGCGGATGTAGCTCTCTAGATAGCTGGGGAATTGTGTGGCGAAAGTTGTTTCATCCACACAGCAGGCACCACCAGGAACATCGTCCTGGGTGAGATCAGGCACAAAATACTTGGAGGAGGAAGAGGAGGATGCCATGCTCAAAGCAGCCAATCACCTCACTAATGTGCGCAGCATGAGAGGGCAAAGAATGGTCATTGGCAATGAAGAGAAAAGCATCAAAATGGAAAGAAGAAATGTACAATAACAGTGGAAAGGGAAAACACAACCAACGGTTGAACCGTTCGGCCATTACACCAGTACCCTCAGCCAGTCCCACGGGGTCCATAAGAAGCGTTGCACAGTTTCCTGTCGTCACCTTTCCTTACCGCTATGGCCGCCTCCACTGCCGATCACATGATGAAAAAGATGTCACGCACACACTCAACAATAATAAAAAAAAAAAAATGAGGAGGCCAAAACCACATGAAACACATGCCTCGCACCCTCTCCAACGGAACCTATACGCACGCATTCAAATGTAGCTCAACAACAGAGACAATAAACGGTCCAAGTATTGTGGGCAAAACAACAGCGGCGCACGGCGTGACCCCCGTGCAGACGCAGCGCCTTCTCAACAATTATGCATTTGGCTGCATGTTGGATTGTGTGGAACCCAAATATTTCGAGACAGCCAGTGGAAAGCCCCCCGCCCCACATCTTTGTGTATTGAGTGGCCGCAAGCTGCTGTTTAGTGCCGTCCACGTGCCATCCGGCGACGCCTCAACCGCAACTGTGTGCAGAGCCCCCGACGCAGGCCACTTAATGGGTGTATCATCTGAACACACAGAAGGGGTGACTTTATTCAAGGTGGTGAAGGAAGCCGTGAGCATCGTTCGCTGAGGGTCCAGGTTCATTAATGCGGCGTATGTGAGGCGGGCTTCCAACCACTTTGCCTCCGCTGGGAGGGCGATAAACACCATCTGACTCCCGCGATGCACAACGACGTACTTTGAGTACGAACTGTGAATGTTACTTTCTTGCATCTTTGCCAGGCAACAAACCCGCACAATCGTCCTACCGACGGCCTCCTCGTCCCCTCTTTTTTCCCCCTTTCTTTCGCCCCCCACTTCTATGTTTCTGTTGACCACAGCCGCACGTGTATGCGATGCACGCACACAAAGGGTAAGAAGGCAGCGACTGAATTCGCAGAAGAAACGGGACAATAAAAAATAGTGCGTGGCCCAAACTCTTTTATTCTGAGGGCCTCGTCTTGCCGAACCACCACGCACTCCAAGTGTACCTCCCAAACCTCAAAGAATGAGTGACACTCCACTACTCAGCGTCCACCGTATGCACAAGCAATCACAACCGTACCTGTGCGTAGTTGTGATTGACCCAGCCATGCAACAGCCGTACTGACTCTCGTCATGGCTCTGAAAGGAACTGTGAAAGTGCACACACCAGTGTGAGTGAATCAATACACACACGCGTCGAAACGTTGGCACATACACACACGCACGCCAGAAAAACAACAACAAAACAAACAAAAAAAAAATGAAATAAGGAACACGCAGAAAGAAAGGAAAAAAAAGGAGAAAACGGTGCCAATGGTCAGAGAAAACAAGGGTATACAATTTTTCGTGGAAAACAAAAAAAAAAGGACGTGAGGGAGAACACCATTTGCCCACATTTTCATATGTCACGTTCACCGCGGGGAAATTCCTCGAATTCGACCCTATCATCCTCCGCAGGTGGTTGCACCTTGCGTCTTGTGGCACTCAGAACTTTCACGCTTTCCAGTAAGCCCACCATTAGTTCCTGCCTACGAGTGTTGTCAGCATGCTGTGGCGCACCGGGATTGTAGAGCGTGTTGAGAAGATCGGTGAGGGTCCACAACCCAATCATCACCCCACAATCGTCGTACACCACGGCCATGTTGGATGAATGTTCATGAAAGGCACGGTAGGTGTTGTACAACGTGGTGCTTGCCGGCAGGCGAAGCATCTCCATAAGGGGGTAATCCCCCGCTCGCGGCGGCTTCTGAGGGTTGGTGAAGCACAACTTTATAAGCGACTGGACAATGAGGGCGCCAAGAATGTGCAGTCGGTTGTCGTTCAAATAAACAGGAATGCGACTGTATCCAGCGATAAGAATATTCTCCACCGTTTTTTTGTCTAGCCGCGTCCGTGACGAGAGCATAAATGCCTTGTCACACGTCGTCACGACAAAATCTTGCACTCGATGACTTGACAACCGCAAGGCCCCTGTGAGCATGTTGACCTCCGACTCTCGAAGAAACGCCGTTTCCTTCTGCTGGGCCAAAAACAAAGCCTCCAGCTCATCGCGCCGGAGAAGGTAGTCCTTGCGTCCCAAGACATAATCCAAAAGCTTTCCCGCTGGGTAACTCACCGGGGCAGTGACAACCACCAGCAGCCATATGAGTGGAACAAAGAAGGAGCACATCGGAAATGACCAGCGAACAAAAATAGAGAGAGGAATAATGTCACTAAGAAAAAGGACAGCCGTGATAGATAGAAGAAGAGCTGTCAGCTGGTCAAAAACACGTTCAAGTAATATAGGCACACCCGTCATTGCCGAGGCATTCGCAAAAAGTAAAGCCACCAGCGTCCAATGCTCGAGTTCCAGAATGTCTAATAGGCATTTCGCCCGCCGCCGTTCCTGCGGAGATCCCGTCGTTGTAAGAATGCGAAGGAACATGCGGTCCATGGAAAACAAAGCCACCTGAATACCTGCTGTAATGCCTGTAAAAAGCAGTAGCCCTATAATGCCAAGCAAGTAAGCGAGTTCCTCACTTTTCGCCAATGTTTGTTGACCCATATCTTTTCACACATGCGTGTTGTTGTTATTATTATGATAATATATATATATATATATACACACACGCATACAAAAAAAAAAAGAAGTAAGAGGAAACAGTACAGTGGTAGAATTTGTTCTAAAACAACGCGCTAAAGCGGCAGTCAGGTGAACATCAACATTATCTAAGCCCAATTCATGCACCTTCATTCGTTTTTTTGTTGTTGTTGTTTTGGCGCGCCCTCTGTCTCTTCGTTTAAAGCATTAATACCTAACGCTTAAAATGTGTTAGTCATTTTTGTTTGTGTTCCCACATATCTTCGGCTTTTTCTCACGTTTGACTTTTTTTTAAAATTATTCTCCCTCTCTCTTCTCTTGCTTCTTCGTCATTTGCTTATCCCTCCACTCTTCATGTCACTACGACACCGTAACTACTCCTCGTCATTGTTGTCCTCGTCCTCTTCTTCGTCCTCCTCCTCCTCGTCCTCTTCATCTTCCAACTTCTCAATGAGCAGAATGGACTGATCGCCGCTCTTCTTCACGAGAAGAGCCTCCCTGAGATCCTGCTGCCTCAAAACCGTCATAATGATGGCGTCCGCAATGGCCCACATATTCCCCACCTTAATGCCAAGCTGGGCGGAGAGCGGGCCGGGGTCCTTGGTCTGCGTGGCGAGAACCTCGTGCTTTGTCGGGTCCAACGTCCCGTTACTCCGGCAACAGCGCGTCACGAAGCCAATCTTCATCAAAGCCCCTGACAAATGGCAGAGAGACACCCAGCGGGACATCTTTTGCGCGTTTCTGCGGTATTCATCCGAAATCCACTTGGCCCCTTGCGAGTCCAACGTCTTGCGCCACTCACTTTCAGCCCCCTCTGCACACTGTTCCAAAAGCCCAAAGATGCGGACGTATTTGCCACCCTCAACCGCGTCCACCTCACATCGAACAATTAGATCGTAGCGGTCCTCCGTGTCGGCATGCATCACAAAACGGCGATAGCGATACAGGCGGGGCTGAATTCCTGGAAATGGGTTCTTTTCACACTTCATCTGATAACGCGTTTTCGAGCATGCCTGCGCGACAAACGCGTTATTTACCTCCGTAGACTCCTTCGCAAGGGCAGTGATGCGCTCAGATTGAATAGGGTCGTTTTCAACAGGACGACGCGAGGCGTCCGCTGTTTCACCAACCCACTGCATCTCAATATTGCTTTTATCCGCCTTTGAAATAAACACAATGCGATTGTAACGAAAAATCTCAAGATGCCATGGGTGTACACTACGACTGCACGTCATCATAAGAGCAAGGATCTCATCCGTTGCCACAACAATAGGATGCGTCCCAGTCACCTTAGTTTTAAGAATTTCGCGGAGAGTTACATCGGTCCCCGTGTTCGACCGCGCAAAAAAGTCCTGGCTTTTACTGCCTTCGTCGAGTCGAATTGGAGTCTTACATGTCGCCTTTTCCATAGCACTGTTATAGACCAAGGGGCAGTTGTGAAGGGAGATGTCCGTCACAATAGGGGCATCCTGAATGTTTTGCATCTTGGCCAGCTCCGCCTGTGTAAACTCGGCAAAAATACGAACATCCGTTGGCACCCGAACGGTGTCTGGAAGGAGTGTAAGATTGCGTTTAACCTTGTTGGCAAAATGACTGCGAGGGTTGTGGGGACGCTTCACAAAGCGCCGCTCCGGGCCATGACGGCGATCCTTCGCGCAAAGGTTGCGCAGCGCCTTCAGACGATTCTCGTCCTTAACGGTGATGAACTGCTTCTTCTCCGTCGCCTGCTCCGCCATCACCTCGAGCCAGTCGCTTGGGTAAATCGGGTCCGTCTTCTGGTAGAGCCGCACCTTCATGCCACCCAACTCCATCTCGTTTGGCGGCGGCCCCCACGAAAATGGTGCATTGACAAAAATCTCTGGCAGCTCAAAGCCCATCTCGTCCTTGACGGCGCTAAATCTACAAAACACGCGCAGGCGCACAAAAGCAAGCACCGACAAGATAATATCTCTCTCTAAACTACGTCACAGTCACCGCCAAATAAAAAGGGGGTGCAGGAAAGTCAAAGGACTCAGCACAAAAGGAAGGAAGCGGGGGCAGCAGCGTTTCAGATAAGCCCACGGATCGGAATAACAAGAAAACGAAAAATAAAACATAAGACAAACATACATAATAAAATAATAAGGTAAATACGAAGGAACATGGACCACTTCCAAGTGCCGCCCTATCTGAAAATACACAAATACAAAAAGAAAAAGACGAAGCCACAACGCACACGCACACACATACAAAAGGCAATGACAAAAGTATGTGTTAATGAAATGACGAAACAAAGGTGTGACGAGCACTGGTTCTCCTCGACGCCTACTGCTCAGGCTTGTCTTTACACAACTCACTCACTGCAACGCTCACACTTCCAGTCCTCTGTACAAGTTCGCACGCGTCCGTGTGGCTAATATCAAACCCCATTTCTACAATATCATGTGCACCTTCACGTACCCAGGGTGCCCACTCTGGCGAGATATCTTTCTTAGCTTTGTCTTTGTCACGCAAATGAGAGACTACTTCCTCAGGGCTTGGTTCTTTGCCATCCACAGTTTGCAACTCATTCCTCGCTTCCGAAACGGCCTCTGCGGCAAATTCATTCCCTGTCAAGGATTGAACGGCTAGAAGCAAAGCATCGGCATCAGCACCGTCGCCATCCGTGAAGGTGGCGGCACCGTGGACATCTTCAATGGCCTCAAACAAGATGGATGATCTGTCCGCGTACGCCTCATCGGAGAGCAGAAGTAGCAATCTCCCACCAAGCTTTACGGCGGTTGAAAAGTGGTTATTCCAAAAGAGAACAACAACCTCCCCCTCGTCAAGCTCGCGTAGAAGCACCGCTAATCCTTCGTCTGTCAGCTGCGAACGTGTATGCTCGAGAAACTCGTTGGCAACCCCCGACAATTCACTGTTTTTGTGAATCGCCAGTAGACTAACTTCATTAAAAGACATGTCACGCAAGGGAGCATAGCGATCTTCAGATGAAATCATCCACCCATGCACAAGACGTAACCCTGCAAGGGCGAACAGCATCAGATCATCCTCCGAATCAAAGCCATCTAAAACAGAAAAAATGGGACTTATGCTCATACCATGGTACAAACGTCGCAAAAACTCCTCGCCTTCTGCACCCTCCGCTAGTTTCGCCCTGGCCTCAGCAAGACGTTCCTGGACAAGACCAGCAATTGTTGCCACTTCTTCACCATTCACTACTCGCGTAGTGGGACAGACAAACTGTGGAATGTCCGGGTTGCCCCCTATGATATACTCGAGAATCGTGCGACGAAGTTCCTTGGCCTCAATTCGCCGGCAATTACCTGGGCACAAGTTGATGCGCCCCATTAGTGTCAGCGCATTAGCTGCTGCTACCACAGGACATGGACCATTTTGGTCCTGAGTCACAAGGCAGACACTACGGCCACAGAACACATCTTTCTTAACCCGGTGCGAGTCAAGAGGATCTACCACGGCAGGAAGCTCCGGTAGCACCTCCAAAAGTCCATCCTCAAAGTCCTTTCTTGTAAACGCCGTTGCCACCAACGCTGAGGCGTTGGAGTCAAGAAGAACGTAGAGTTTACCTGCATTCACACCAAGAATCACTGCCTCCCCCTTTGGGGTTCGCACTCGCTTCAGTAAGACACAGTTAAATGGCGCAGTCGCCTCCGCTGTCATATCAAGCATGCGAGCGACTCCATCATCACACATAAACTCACAATCCATTCTTTCGGTCCCTCCCTTTGTTTTGCCTCTTCTCTCCCCAACCTCTCGGTTTCTGCCTTACCTGTATTTATGACGCTGTTATTTTATTTTATTTTTGTTTTCGTTTTAAAGGGAAGGGGTCTATATTTGCTGCACTCACACCTTACCAATGTGGTCGGCGGCGTCAGAAGAAGGTGGCAGGGCAACCGCGTTTTTCCCACACCCTGGCACTTGTGCTTGGCCGATCATTAAACCATAAGAAAATAAAAAAGGAAATAAGCAGCACTACAGCATAAACACAAAGTTGCTCAACATATGTTTCATTTGCTTTGGATGACAACAATTTTGATTCTCACAGCCACAAGGCAAGAAAAGTTTGCATGTCAAATGTCCGTTGAGAAACCCAGAGAGATGTAAATAAGGATACAGTGCTGGTAACATTAAAAAAAAAAACACCAACAATGACAGCTTGCGCGGTTATCCACAGGCAACAGATCACATTAAGCTCACTTCTCAAACAAACATTAAGAATCATGCATGAGCTCTCTCAAATAATGGTTACATGTCCAACTCGCTGCTGCTGTCCTCATTTTGTTTCCTTCATTACTCTTTCGTTAAAAACTATTCCTTTCACGCAACACCCCTTCCCGCATGCCACCACCACAAAAGTCATTTACGTGTGTACATGTATCTAGTTACCATATGCGTATTATGTGTACTCCAGCCCCACCCACTTTCGTCCCTTTCATTTAACCTGAGTCTTATAAATTCTGCTCTTCAAAGTGTCTCCTTCTCTCCCCCACCCCGCCCCCGCCCCGCTTCCTTCCGGTCGCTTTGCGCGGGTGTTTTTGCTTCGTGTTGTGTTACCCCCTCCTCCTGCTTGTTCCCCTTAAGGCAGGATAGATGTCTGCATGCCAAACTCTCAGCGTAACACACGTCATTATCGCTGGAGGCTGTCCCATCAACAGCCCTTTCATCCCCCACTTTCTTTCATTTTGGTAGTAAAAGTGTTTCCGACTCGGCTGCCGTGTGCCACTCATCACCCGTTAAAAAGAGCAGCATCAGTTGGACAAACACGCGGAAACGCCAGGACACGAGAACCGTGTTAATCATAATCGCCTGCCTCAGCGACTCTTAAAATAAATAACAATAATACAAAAAAGGAGAGAAAAAGCTTGCTCCGCACTGCAGCCAAAAAAATAATAATAATAATAATAATACGAACACTTTACATGCAGCCCTTAATATTTTACTTTGTGTGTGATGTGCGTCGTTATTGCTGCTGTTTTTGCCGCTGTCACATGGCCGGCATCGTTGCCTCTAGCGAGGGGACTTGGTTTGCTCACGAGCACCCGCACAAGAGATGCTCTGTTGAACTTGACACGTTGGAAACGCCCTTGGTGGCAGTACTGAGCTCTTCTCCAGGCAGACCCAGCCACGGATGCTTAAGAAGTTCCTCGGCTGATGGCCGCTTCGTTGTGTCCCGCTCAAGACACTTTTTTAAAAAGTCGCGACACAACTCTGAGGATCCCTCTGGAATGGTCAGCATGACGTCAGTGTTCCCTACGAGATACAACATTGAAACAACATTGTCAAACTCCTTTCGCCACGGCGGAACTCCGCCGTTGAGCAATTCTACGACGGTGCAGCCAACGGACCATATGTCGGCCTTCGTCCCGTAAGGCTCATTGCGTATTACCTCTGGGGCCATCCAATATGGTGAGCCGACAAGCGTATCACACCCCGCACGGCTGTGATCATTTATGCCTAGCAAATTTTTAGAGGAGCCAAAATCTGCTAGCTTGACGACACCCAAGCCATCCACGAGAACATTTTCCCCCTTGACATCTCGATGCACCACGCCCTTCTGATGCAGGTAACGCAGCCCAAGCAGCATCTGATATGTGTAGTATCGAATCACAGATTCGTTTAGCCCAGTAAAGCTCCTTATAATGCTGGTTAAGTTTCCAGCCACAGCAAATTCCATAAATATCAAAACATAGTCATGATCTGTGCGGCAACCCAAATAACGGATGATGTTTGGATGAGAAAGTTCCTTCAGCATGTTGACTTCCGTCTCCACTTGGAAAAGGGCTTTTTTGGTGGAGTTCTGAGTACTGATGTACTTTACCGCTACCAGTCTCCCAGTGGCTAGAATGCCCAAATGAACGGCACCATAGCTTCCCGAGCCAAGGACAGGCCCACAACAAAAGGACTCCATCTCCTCCTGAGTGAGTGGGCCCTGGGCATCGTCGTTTGCACCAGCAGCTGACAACAAAGACATTGCTGTTGTTGATGATGATAGAGGGGACGTCATGAGTGTTACCACTTTCGGTCCCTCACAAAAATTGGTTGTTTTTTTTGGTCAAGACTGTCCGCGGACGCGTTGGTTCCTTAATAAGTCCATTAAAATAAAAACTACCAAGCAAGCGGTACTTCTCGTAGTGGTATCGTTTTTGTTTTTCCAACAATTCCATGTTAAGGCGGGCTGTGGCGTTCAACACGTTTTGTCGCTCCTCTGCAGATGCACATGTCAGAAACTCGTATTGCAATTCTTGTATTCGGCTATGAATCTGCTGAATAGAGCGCTGAATTGCATCAATAGCCACGTTGTTTGTGGTCGCAGATTCATCCTGTGCGGCGATTATGTTGTACCAAACACTACCACCTACCGTGACAATCCAAAGGGTCACCACCACAATAAAATACATCTCCCCATCACGGCACGTTTTCGCAAATCCCAAATAAACCCGAATTACGTGCAATATTATACACACGTGTGCAAACAACGCCGAACACGAAAACTGAATCATAAGTCTATTGATGTTTCTGTAGGCAGTGGGGGTGGCGTAGAAAAGCAACAGCAGTCGCAAACATGCAAAGGAAAAGTTGCTGACAAACAACAACAGCGAACTGTTGCTAAATACTTTCCACATGCCACTTTCCGTCAATGACAATGCATCCAGGGCAACCAACACCGATAGACGGCACCGCAAATCGCATTTTAAGAGCTGCATTGCCGAAAGCCTTCCAGACTGTATCACGAAACAGAACAGCAAAAGTGAGATGGTCGGAACAATCATATTATTATGAGCCTCCGAGCATGTAGTAAATTCACTGAGAAACGTGTTGCATGCGAAAGTGTCGAGGACGAGAGATCGGAAAGGAAAGGAAAACACGATGAGAAAAACCTGTAAAACGTGTTCCACGCGTAAAAGGATTTGCATAATTCTTTGCCCCCACTTCCCGCACAATCGTCGACGAATGCTATTTTTGCCCAGCACCATCAGTGTGATCGAGGTGAATCCCCAGATGAATGTGCCCATCGTCACTCTTCGCATCGTCACTTGGAAGTTTATCAGACGATGGGGCAGAATGAGCAACACGCTGCGGAAGCGTACAAATGACATAAAACCAACAGGCAGTGGTGCTTGTGGAGGAATCGCCACCATAGATCTCTGAAACACATTGAACAGCAGTGTAGCAAGTATCACATAGTTCATTGCATGTAGTGTAAACTCGGACCGCGAGAGAGTCAGACGCAGAGGTGGTTTTTTTCTAAGATCCATAAGCCATTGCTTCCATGACATCCCATTGGCAAGCAGAAAAAATTGCATAACCATGAAACCTAACAAAACAAATGTTATCCCCCACTTAATCATACTACGCGTCGATGGCACACCTGGTGGTGGATCATGGGGCATCATATGAAAACAGTGGAACACAATAAACAGCTTGTTAGCCTCTTCAAGTAAATATTCTTCTGAACATTCCATATCTGGCGGCAGCACAAACCACTTTCGTCGCAATTCGTCATTTTTTTTACGATCCGATGCTTTACTGAAATACCCTGACACTGACGGCAGCGGATAGTAATGGCACTCGACAATTAAATCATGTGCCCATCGTACACCTCCGCTGGCACTGAGTACATTCACGCATGGTGTTGTCTGAACAGAGTATAACTTCACCCGGCCACCGGTTGCAATCTCGAGCGACCCATTGATCAGCGGCCCAAGTAACATGTCCGCCTCCAGGAGGCCTTCCACGTAAGTCACTGCGGCGTTAATTACACAACCGCCACCTAAGACAAGGCGTGAGCCGTGGTCAACAGAGAGAATTGTTTGGGCCCCTACATAAACGGTGCCTGCTCCAATAAGTGCCGCATTTTTCATAACAATTCCATCCAAGTTAAGTCTTGCCCCATTGCGAAGTAGCATTTCACCACCCAATATGAGACTCGCGCCTCGCGGTAGAACGCCATTCAATGGTAGGCGTATATTAGCAGCAAGGAGAAGCGGCATAAGCCTGGCCGCTTCGTCGGGAAGCTTTAGATATTCCACTGAGCCTCCAATTACACCGCCGAGAGGAACTGCCACACACCCTCGCACGAGGAAACGACCATCAATCTTAACGTAGCCAAACAAGGATAGCATTGTATCACAGTTTACACTAAAATCCGGTGGCGACGAGACATCTAATGCTACAAGCGTCGCATTCCCACTAACAGCAAAGGACACCAAAGAAGACTCCTCTCCTTTTTGTACACGGTGTCTGCTGCCACTTCCATAGACGACGGTGATGTTGTTGTCTTGAATCCATATGTTACCAGAGAGCACCACGGAGTCTATATCTGCAGTTAGCGCCCCCGCAATAATAAGTTGCGCCAAACCCGTGTTAGTAATTAAATGTGCCCTGCGAAGATTCAGGTGTGACCCTTCTCCAAAGGCAATCACACCGCATAATGCAACCAAAACAATGGAAGGGCCGGCTAACGGGCCAATAATGTCTGTTGTAACTTCGCCTGTAACAGCAATAGAATCAAGCAACAGTGATTTCCCAGTAAGAAAAATACGGCTTCGGTTCCCTATCACTTTGGCTGAGACAAGCGAAGAGTCTCCCATAAGTGTTAGCTCCGAATTCTCTAACAATACAATTGTTCCACTGAGCCGCGCATCCGAGGTATACACGCGGGCTCCATGCTGTAAAACCAGTTTTGCCCTTTCCCCAATCACCATTTCCGTAATTTTCAAGTTCCCTGAGAGCACAAGTGATCCCTTTGTGTTCATTATATGTGTTTGGCACAACACAGCCGGACCCTGTTCCACTGCGATGACATGAATCACACCACCCCGATTAATAACTACATTATTGCGACTTCGAGAACGAATACTGGTAGCTCCCTCATCTCCCACATGTGCTACGACGATGGTAAGATGCCCGTAGTTATGGACGGCTCCCCCACCTTCCAAGAGTAGCTGCGGGACATCTATTACCATAACACCATAGTTACCCAAAATAAACGACAGCGTACGGGGCTCGTAACCCTGTGAAGTAATGGTAGACATCCCCAGGCAGTTTATCTCTCCCTGACCCACAATGCTGCCTCCTGACCACACCAAAGACGAAACATTAAAGGACTCCTGTTTCAAAAAAAGCATTATTGTCTCATCAACCTGCAAACGCCCCGCAATAGAAACAGGATAAAAATCCGTTACGCTATCCAAAGGCAAATACTTTGATCCTTTCTTCATCGCGGCATCAACGTCCTTCTCAACCACCAGTGTTGCCACCCCAACATACCGATTCGAACCTTCACGACAGTAGCAAACCAGGTAGTGACCTTTTTCGTTTATAATGCCAAAGAAAAGGGCTCGAGTACTACTGAAGAGAGAAAACACGGGTAAAAAAGTGTTTTCAAACGTGAATTCGTTGCATGACTGTGCCGTAATAATAAGTTCATCATGTTCCGAAAGGTTGGTACCGAACACGTGGCCCCTAAACTCCACACCAGAAAAAACTCGACGCGGTTCTATTGAAACCCCTTCAGGGCCCGCTATTGTTAATGTCTCACCTACTTCCAGCATCACATGAGGCAAAGCTTCTGGGAATGGCATATAACAAAGTGTGACCAAGCCACCGCGAATCGCACCAAAACGAAATACTTGGTTCTCCTCATCCCATTCATTTCCGCTAATCGATGCTTCGACAGCATTGACGCACGAATTACTATTCATGACCTTTATTCTTGAACCAGTTCCAGCACTCTTTTCTTTCACTATAGGAATTTCAATCATATTCCCGGTAATATACTGTGCTGGGGCCATCTGCACAAGTCTGTCAGTATCAATGCAAATTAGAGTCTTTGGTGTGACAACAAACGCGTTATCTGAGCGGCAATCCTCGCCTTTTGCGCCCCCACCAAGCGTATGAGGTTGCTGAGTGATATTCGGCGGTAAACAAGGCACCACGAGCAGTGCCTCATCCACAACGCAGTCAGAAAGCGGGTGAAACGTGAGTCGCACAGTGCGTCCATTTTCCTCCATTTCAACACGGCTTTGCTCCATCAGCCGTGGAAGCTGCCGCAACCACGAGTTGGAGGTGACCTGCATCTCCCGTTTGGCTCCGTCTTCACTCACCACATAGCTCACAGAAAGTATCTCGGCCAACAGATCCTTTAAATGAGCCTCGTCGTACCCTTTAAAAATTGGGAAAACCGCCTGGACCATGAACGTTGCGCCCCCCACACGCAGTGTTTCTTCGGCAAGGCCGCGATACACACTGCCCCTAAAGCGTACACCAGCGCCTGCAACATGAAGAGCAAAGAAGAAGAGAAACACTGCAAAAGTGCCGATCCTCGTCCCAGCGTGGGAGAAACAGCAGTGTTGCCCGCCCATAATCCCCAACCTGCTTGAGCCAAAAACTAGGAAAAATGCAAAAAAAAAAA